TAAGACAAAAAGGACTCTAACGCAGAAATTATGCAGGAAAAGTCGAACGCTTATGAATTGTTTATTTCGTGTTCAATCATAATCTTGAAATTAATTAATAATTTTGACTAAGAACAGTCATGAAATAAAAATCTGTATTAATATTAGGCATCATCAAGCTCTTGGTGAGAGGGACGAATTAATTCTTTGTTCAAAAGCCCTTCTGACTAAAAACTGCTTTATCCGAAGCCCCTTCTAGTCAACTGAAAAATACAAAAATAAAAAGAAAGAGAAAGAGAAAGGAAAAGAAAAAGTGAAATAAAGGAAAAAGAACCAATGAGATAATGATAGTAGTCTCCTAAGATATGATAAGTTAACAAATCTCTCTCTTAGATTTCACAACTAACAAAAATCTTCTTAATATTAAGTTTTAGATATTGAAATAAAGATATCAGAGTAGTTTAATATTATTTATTAACTCATAACAGTATTGTTAATGTGGAAGCCTGAAACAGCGTCATTTTAGGTAAAGGAATACGACGTCGTTTTAGGCATAATAACCGGGTCAAATTTAGACCGCAGGATGCACTCCAGATCTAACGGCCAGAATCAGTCACTCAGTCAAACCATATATAAACTCTCTTTCGTTCAGAATAGAGAGAGAGACACACATTTTAGGGTTTTCTGGGTTTGCATTTTTCTGAGTTATGGTTGAGATTATTGTTCCAGATTGTGGTGTAATCAGTTCGAGTGGTTAGGGAGATTAATCATTGGGGTGAGAGTGTTGTTCTCTTGGGTTAGGGATATTCAAAGGGTATCTTGTTAGGCTGATTGCAGTTTGTATTTGTGTAGATCTGGTGAGTGTCGAATCTGTGTAATCTTGATTGTTCTTGATAATAGAAAGTGCAGCGAGCTCATACCGCTCTTGAGCTCAACGTGGATGTAGCTTATCCATAAAAGGATGAGTGAACCATGGTAAATTGTGGCTTGTTTGTGTGTCTGTTTTATTCTTGATTCTTGGTGTGATTGATTTGTGTTGGTGTATAGATCAATATTAGGCTTGTGTTCTAACAGTGGTATCAGAGCCATTTCTTGAAGTTGAAGTTTTTTACGAAATTTGGGTTTTTCGAATTTGGGTTTTTTGCAAAATTAGGGTTTCGTGAAATTAGGGTTTTGAGAAATTGGGGGTTTTTCGAATCAATAATTCCTTTCAGTCTCCAATTGGGTCTAGTGAGTCAAATCTTGATCAAGTGTAAGGGTATCTCGGCTGGAAAACCAGTAACCGCCTTAAAAACTGCTTAGCAGTAATTGACAACCTCTGGTGTAACAACACCACGTACACTTTAGACTTACCTTCTCTGACGTTGTTTCGATAGAAGAAGTTTTTTACGAAATTAGGGTTTTGCGAATTTGGGTTTTTTTTTTTTTTTGAAAAATTTGGGTTTCGTAAAAATTAGGGTTTCGGGAAATTGGGGTTTTTCAAATTAGTGATTCCTTTGAGTCTAAAATTGGTTCTAGGGAGTCAAATCTTGATAAAGTGTAAGGGAATCTCAACTGGAAAACCAGTAAACGCCTTAAAAACTGTCTGGCAGTACTTGACAACCTCTGGTGTAACAACGCCACGTACACCTTAGACTTTCCTTCCCTGCCATTACAAGTAAAATGAGCACTACCCATATGGAGATCTCCCAATACGATGGGAAGATCGATTTCGGGAGCTGGAAGAAGAAGATGAAAGCTCTCCTCTCACATAACAAGGTTGCAATCGCACTGGAAAAGGATCCCAAGAAATGGTCAGAGGAGAAACTGGAGAAGAAGGAAGAGGTTGACGAAGAAGCCTATAATCTGATCGTGATGAATCTTTCGAACAGTGTCCTTTGGAAGGTAGATGGATTCGAAACTCCTCTTGGTTTATGGGGTAAATTAGAATCTTTATATGCCTTACAGTCTGCATTGAATTTGGCTTTCTTAAAGGGAGCCTTATTCTCTTATAAGATGGATAATCCGAAGTCCATTGAGGAAAATTTAGATGAATTCCTTAAGATGAATCTAATTTTGAAAGGCACAGACCAAGAACTAGGATAGACAAGTCTTGCCATGATATTATTAAATTCTTTAACTAAAGACTACCAAGTAGTCAAGAATGCCCTTCAGTACTCTGGTACTATACTCTGTGTTGATTTGATAGTTGCTGGTCTTAAGGCTAGAGAATTAGAGCTTAAAACTCTTAAAAGGAACAATAACACTCTGTTTGTGAAGGGTAGATTAGAACCTGGTCAGTCTAGTCAAGGATTTCAGCCAAATCAGGGGGGTAAGAACAAGAAGAAATGGAAGGGAAACAATAAAACCAAAACAGAAACCAGGAAATATTACTACTGTAACAAGACAAGCCATCTAAAGAAAAACTATTTTGATTGGAAGAAGAAACAGAAACTAGGTAATACAGAGAGCAACCTAGCCACCACTAGTAACCAAATGGATGAACCAGAAGTCCTAACAGTATCAATATCTGACACTATAAAAGAATGGGTTTTAGATTCAAGTTGTACTTCCATATGAGCCTTAATAGGAGTTGGTTCCAAGACTTTGAGGATTCTGATCATGAAACTGTGTACATGGGGAACAACCAAGCATGTAGAGTTAAGGGGATTGGCTGCATAACCCTTAGGTTAAGTGGGGGAAAACTAATAAGGTTAACCAAAGTCAGGTATATACCTGACTTAAAAAGAAACCTCATATACCTGACTTAAAAAGAAACCTCATATCATTAGGCACCCTAGATGAAGCAGACTGCTGCTATAAGGCAAACAGTGGATGGTTGAATGTCTATAAAAATGAAAATCTTGTGTTGACAGGAGAAAAGAAAAATGGTCTCTATGTACTTTGTGGGAGTTTTTATTCTGATTGTAACAGCACAACTCTTGGGTCTCCAAATTTATCAGTAATTGAAAAGTGACACTTAAGGTTAGGCCACATGAGTCAGAAGGGGATGGATGTACTAAATAGGCAAGGACAGTTTGGGAAAGATACTATCACTAGTTTAGAATTATGTGAAAATTTTGTACTTGGTGAACAGCACAGGAACAATTTTCCTAAGGGAGTTCACTTAGCAAACAACTGTTTGGATTATCTACATTCTGATTTATGGGGGTCAGAAAAGGTTAAATCTCATGGTGGAAATAGTTATTTCCTCTCAATAGTAGATGACTATAGCAGGAAGGTTTGGGTATTCTTACTTAGGTCAAAAGATCAAGCCCTAGCAAAGTTTAGAGACTGGAAAACCCTTGTTGAAAACTAGTCTGGCAGAAAGGTAAAAGCCCTTAGGACTGACAATGGGCTTGAGTTCTATAATCTGGAGTTTGACAACTTTTGCAGTGAACAGGGGATCCTGAGGCATAGGATAGTGAGAAATACCCCTCAGCAAAATGGGGTGGCTGAGAGAATGCATAGAACACTTCTAGACAAAGTCAGGTGCCTTTTGATCATTTCAAACCTTCCAAAAACATTCTGGGGAGAGGCACTCTCCACAGCTGCCTATTTAGTGAATAGGAGTCCCTCCACAGCAATAAGTCTAATCAGTCCAGAAGAAAGATGGTCTGGAAGAAGACCAGAACTAAGGCATCTAAGAGTGTTTGGCTGTGCTACATATGCTCACACAGTGGGAGAAAAACTGGAACCAAGATCAACTAGGTGTGTGTTCCTTGGATATCCAGAGGGCACAAAAGGATACAGGCTATGGGACAGAGAGTCACCAGGAGTCAGGATCATAGTGAGCAGGGATGTTGTGTTTAATGAGGGAGTATTCCCATGCAAAGGCCCTAACCCTGATGAAGGTACCATCGAAAGCACAGAAGTAGTTACCAGACAGATTAGTACCACTCAGATTGAGGTGAAACCCACAACCCATCAATTAAATCCACCTCAAGCACAAGCACAAACTACCCAGCAGCTTGAAACTGAAATTGCATCTGAGGAACTTGATCAAGCTGAAGATGAAGAAGTAGAAGAGTTCCTAGAACCACAACAAAATGAACTGACAAATTATCAACTGGCCAGAGACAGAACAAGAAGAGAGGTAAAACCACCCTCAAGGTATTCATACGCAGAACTAATTTACACTGCTCTACTTGTAGGTATTAAGGTGCTTAGGTCTGAACCTGATACATATCAAGAGGCCATGAAATCCAAGGATAGGGACAAATGGAGAATAACTATGGAGGAGGAAATGCAATCTTTAAAGGTAAATGAAACTTGGACATTGGTTCCAAAACCAAGTAATCAGAAACTGACCCAATGTAAGTGGTTATTCAAACTTAAAGAGGGCATTTCCATAGCTGACCCACTTAAGTATAAAGCTAGACTTGTGGCTAAAGGCAACACCTAAAGGGAGGGGATAGACTTCAATGAAGTCTTCTCCCCTATGGTAAAATACAAAATAATTAAGTTGATGCTGTCTGTAATTGCTTATCAAGACTTGGAATTAGAGCAGTTGGATGTCACCACTGCATTCCTTCATGGATATGAGCCAGCCTATGGGGTTTACTGACCCTAAGTTCCCTGAACATGCATGCCTTCTAAAAATGTCCCTATATGGGTTAAAACAGTCCCCTAGGCAATGGTACAAAAGGTTTGACACCTTTATAATAGGTATAGGATTCGCTAGAAGTCAATATGACAGTTGCTTCTATTTTAAAATGGACAATAATCTGCCTATTTACTTGCTATTATATGTAGATGATATGCTATTGATCAGTAAGTCAAAAACCCAGATTAGTAAATTGAAGAAGAGGCTAAACACTGAATTCAGCATGAAAAACCTAGGAAATGCAAAGAAAATTCTAGGCATGGAAATAAATAGGGATAGAAAGAGATGTAAACTTAGACTGCAGCAACAATCTTACTTACTGAAGCTAGTCACAAAGTTTGGCATGGCTGGTGCCAAACTAGTCTCAATGCCCTTAACCAGTCAGTTTATTCTCTGTAAGTTCCAATGTCCCAAAACTGAGTCATAACTGTTGAAAATGAAGTCTGTTCCTTATGCTAATGTTGTGGGGTCACTGATGTATGCCATGATTAGTATTAGGCCAGACTTAGCCTTTGCCATTTCCATGTTAAGCAGGTATATGTCCAACCCTGGTATGGAACATTGGACTGCTCTAAAATGGATGCTGAAATATATAAACAATACTGTTTGTGTTGGGCTTGAATACTGTAGAAGAAATACTGCACTTGATCTGGTTGGGTTTGTAGATGCTGATTTTGCAGGTGATAAGGATACCAGAAAATCAACTACTGCATATTTCTTTACACTGGGTGGAAATTGTATAAGCTGGAAATCACAGTTGCAGCGTATTGTAGCACTGTCTTCAACAGAATCAGAGTACATTGCAGTAATTGATGCAGTTAAAGAAGCCTTATGGCTAAAAGGAATTTTGACAAAAGTAAAACTAATTGGTGGAAAGGTGACAGTGTATTCAGATAGTCAAAGTGCGATCCACCTAAGCAAAAATCCAGTGTATCACGAAAGAACTAAACACGTGGATGTCCGCTATCACTTCATGAGGGATCAAGTTGCAAGTGGAATCATTAAACTTAAGAAGGTACCCACAGAATAGAATCCAGCAGATATGGGCACCAAGATTATCACTCCAGCCAAGTTCAAGCACTGCTTGAACTTGCTGTATATCAAGTAGTCTGGAGTGATAAAGAGCTATGACCAAATGGTACTAGGCAAGCTGCACAAAGAGACTGTTTCCAGTGCTTCCAAGGTGGAGATTGTTAATGTGGAAACCTAAAACAACGTCGTTTTAGGTAAAGGAATACGACATCGTTTTAGGCATAATAACTGGGACAAATTTAGACCATAGGATGCACTCCAGATCTAACGACCAGAATCAGTCACTCAATCAAACCATATATAAACTCTCTTTCGTACACACACATTTTAGGGTTTTCTGGGTTTGCATTTTTCTAAGTTAGCGTTGAGATTATTGTTCCAGATTATGGTGTAATCAATTCGAGTGGTTAGGGAGATTAATCATTCGGGTGAGAGTGTTGTTCTCTCGAGTTAGAGATATTCAAAAGGTATCTTGTTAGGCTGATTGCAGTTTGTATTTGTGTAGATCTGGTGAGTGTCAAATCTGTGTAATCTTGATTGTTCTTAATAATAGAAAGTGTAGTGAGCTCAACGTGGATGTAGCTTATGCATAAAAGGATAAGTGAACGACGGTAAATCGTGGCTTGTTTGTATGTCTATTTTATTCTTGATTCTTCGTGTGATTGATTTGTGTTGGTGTATAGATCAATATTAGACTTGTGTTCTAACAAGTATAAATTTTAATTTTTCACTAGAGGTTTATCAATGGTAGAATATTTTATTATTTCAAAAACCTCAAATGGATTGTCGTCATTATATGAGAATTCTCTGTCTTTTAACTCAAATTAGTAGTAATGTGCTGATCCTTCTTGTCTTCCTTCTTGTGACTTAGAAAGCAAAAGTTCCTTCCAGGTTGTTATGCCTAAAAAGTCACGCCTATGTCAGCTCATTTAATGTCTTCTTGTACCAGCTACCAAGCTCATATCTCCAAAGATATTCTCACCAACTTTATCTCATTTCAAAGAGATGAATGGACAAGAGCCTTCCATATGTCAAGGAACTTGCAAAACACTCATTACATTGAGTGTTTAGGTGTATAAATGGGCACTCATCTTCCCGAAGAAGGGGGCTGGGCTGAGCATATGAGAGCTAAAGCATAGATTTAAGCTCAATTCTTTCTCTCTGTAAACACTGTATTTCTTCCTCTTTGTATGCCTTACGGGCAATATCATAGAAATAGTCAGTGAGCAATAAAATAACAGTGGATGTAGGAGTCGCTTGTTAAGCATCCGAACCACTATGAAAACCCCTTCTTGCCAATCTTTTATTTATTTTTCTACAAAATATATAATCTCAGCTCCATATTCAAATCTCATGGATCCATCACATGTGTCTCCTAAGTCAGCTCAGTGTTTCCCACGTGCGAGTCGTTGGCGTCCAAAATTTGGTGGCCCATGCAGGTCCGATTCTCAAACCTGCATCCAAGTTCTCCGGTCACATGGCCAGATCATAGATCGCACGCGTCCGAGTTCTCCGATCATGTGGCCAGATCGTAGATCGCACGCATCAGCTCTCCAATCGCGTGGCCAGATCGTTAATCGCATGCATTAGAGCTTCGATCGCGTGGCCAGATCGCGGATCGTACATGTCAGAATTCTTCGATTGCGTGGTCAGATCGTTGATCGCACGCTCAAATCGCACGTTCAAGATCGTTCAGATCACGTGTTCAAATTGCCCAAATCACGTGGCCAGATCGTTTATCGCACACTCAGGTCGTGCTCGTTATATGCTCAAGTCGAGCCCAAGTCGTGCTCATTCAGGTCGAGCCTAGGTTGTGCTTGTTATGTACCCAGGTCGAGTCTAAGTCGTGTTCATTATGTGCTCAGGTCGAGCCCAGGTCGTGCTTGTTATGTGCTCAGGTCGTACTCGTTATATGCATATTGAGCTCGTTTAACTCAAATTGAACTTGTTTTGCTCTCAAGTTGAGATCGTTTTGTTTTCAGGTCGAGCTCCTAACAAATTTCAGGTCGTTTTCCTAACAGATTTCAGATTGTTTTCCTAACAGATTTCAGTTCGAGCTCTTCAGTTCCAGACTATAGCAATTCAGATCAAAGACTTAGTTTCTGAAGCGCGATTACGCACTTCAAAAACTGGGGGGCTTCTGTTATGCCTAAAAAGTCACGCTTATGTCAGCTCATTTAATGTCTTCTTGTACCAGCTGCCAAGGCCATATCTCCAAAGATATTCTTGCCAATGTTATCTCATTTCAAAGAGATGAATGGACGAGAGCCTTCCATGTGTCAAGGAACTTGCAAAACACTCATTACATTGAGTGTTTAGGTGTATAAATAGGCACTCATCTTCCCGAAGAAAGGGGCTGGGCTGAGCATATGAGAGCTAAAGCATAGATTTAAGCTCAATTCTTTCTCTCTGTAAATACTGTATTTCTTCCTCTTTGTATGCCTTATGGGCAATATCATAGAAATAGTCAATGAGCAGTAAAATAACAGTGGATGTAGGAGTCGCTTGTTGAGCATCCGAACCACTATAAAAACCTCCTCTTGCCAATCTTTTATTTATTTTTCTGCAAAATATATAATCTCAGCTTCATATTCAAATCTCATGGATCTATCACGTGTGTCTCCTGAGTCAGCTCAGCGTTTCCCACATGCGAGTCGTTAGCGTCCAAAATCAAGTGTCAACACAGGTCTATACCAAATTGCAAATAAGAGTTATAGAAAGTGCATAAAATTTGGTATTTAGCATATTACTAATTTCCATGCAAATTTAAGGCATGAACATATGCTATACAACCAGTATCTTTTCGGCAACATGACAAGCTTAAGCTAAATTTCCATCAACATCATATTATAATTAATATGATGAAGCTAGTAGTATTCGTTTTTTAATGTAGTCTGCTTACTTCTATTAATTTCTAATCCGTTTCCATCATATGCATAACATATGCTATACAACCAGAAATTACACTTTTTTTTTTCTACCCCAAAATCTAAGCTAATGATGCACATATATTAGTTTTTATTGGTTTCTCTTTTTCTGGGTTAGAACACGGTTCTTAATATTGTTCTAAACAATAATAATAATAAAAAAGTGACAGCTTTTCAAGTAGTGGATTATTACATTTTGGCAACTTATATTAAAGTCACCAACCTGATGAAATTAACCAGTTGTTTCTTGAAGGATACATAGAAACTTAATCAATTATTAGGGATATTAATTGTTGCATCAATTATATAGTGATTATGTGGTTGACACAAGGAAGTCAATCCTTTTGTCTGAGCAGGGTTATTAAATCTACTTTCTTTTTCTTAAGAATGGTGCTGCATCTACAAACTAAATACCTAAATTAATATATATGCAAATTGATTTGATTATACTCTTATTATTATTACATCATAAATCTATATTTATCAAATATCTATATTGAGAACATTTTTGTATGCACTCACGTTTTAGATGAAAAAAAGTTTGTATATCTAATATTAATTCTTTTTAGAGTAAAAAAAGAGTCACTTGTCACCTCGGAAAGTTGCGAAAATCATGTTCTATAACCGTGTTTCATATTCTTGTCGTCATCTTTCAGGAAATTTAAAAGAAGACTCTGGCCAATCCTTATAAAAAGGGTGATAGACCTTAAAAAGATTACTCATCATCCATTAATTCTTGTGATTTGACTAAATTGGAAAATTAAGAACACGGTTTTAATACTTTATAGATAATAAAAGCTGTAAGGTTTTAAGCAATTAGATATAGTTTACTCATAGTCAAAGTCAAGTGAATGCAGCGGTATTATTGGAACATTTTTCTTTTACTTTTAACTGATATGTTTATACGAATCAAACATTCATATTCTTCTATTCTTATTGTTTTTTTTCCTTTTATGCTAATAATATAACCTTGAGCATATTAATTCGAACTTTTTGGTCTTTGAAAATTCTTTGGTACTATTCTTTTTGCCATGGATTTTTTTTTTTTTTTTGTTTTGTTTTGTTTTGTTTTAACTTATTCTATTCCTCTTAGCATGAAATAATCTATATTACAAATTGTTATGACATTAATAAAATTATAAAAAAAAAAAAAAAAATCCTCTTTATTCATAGTGTAGATTCGATATCAAATTTTATATTACTCGTGGAATGGGGGAATATAGTTATATAGCTCGTGGATATTTGAACAATTTTGTAAAACAATATCTAGCCTTATGATTTTGTTGGGTCAATAAGCCATTAAACTTGTAACATGTAGACTATTCTAAGTATATGTTAATGCCTAAAAATGGCTTAAGTGCTAACAAGTAAAAAGGTTTAAGAGATGGCGGTGTTTTCATTGGTCTTCAGTCTTCTAGGTTGCGGGTTGGCCTATTATCTCTTTCAAAGCCACTAGAGCCCTACTTGAAATATATTATTCTATACATAGTTGTTATGGTTACTATTACCTCATTGATCAAACCATTAGAATCTTGACAAGTGTATCATTTTGGTGTATTACGGCAAGACACAAGATATTTTTCTATCGTTGTCTTTTTATTTCTCTTTTTCTAGGAAAATACGTGCTCCCTGTTGTTGTGACGCGTATAATCACAAAAAGTAACCTTTTATGGTTATCATCCATTGACTATATCGACCGTGTTAAAGAATTAACGCCACTGAGGTTGCTCGTGTAATGCAGCCGAAACAACATGCATATGACAATAAGAGGAACCAAGGCGTTTGGCCTTCATATATATATATATATATATATATATATATATATATATAACCTATAATATTAGATATCTTGGGAAAATCAACATGTTCTAATTTTGAAGTTTTTCATAATGCTTCTACTTAATTGGCAGCGTATGAAAACATTCGTCGCACACTTGTATAATGTGTTCCTGATGGCCCGAACGCTTTCAAAAATTTATTTTCAATTGAATTGATACACTTCTATTCTTCATTTACTATTTTCTCATGCAATATTGCATCTACTTTACAAACTGAAATTCTATCTATTATTTCAACTAAAGATGCACTTGCACTATTTGAATTAGCATTTTAAAATGCAATCTATTTCCAAATATTTATCATTAGTTGATAATGCATTAAGTTCAAGAAGGATACTTTTGATAAATATCTTGGTTGACACTTGTGTTATCATTATTAATTAAAGAAAGATGAATCTGCCTTAATTCTTCTA